CAGAGTACGTTACTCGAGTTGACAAATTTGGAACGTGAAAGGGTAAGGTAATATTATATATACATATAATATTATATTTAATATTTTATTTAGAAAGAGATAAACTCAGATAAACTATATATGTATATACATGCATACATCTAACCTTGATACAAGCTTTCGAATCACATTTTTTACTTATCTCTACACTCTCGTGTCCATCACCCACAATGAATTATTTTCTTGTAACGGTGTTCCATTATCATTGATTATTAACATATGCACATCTTTGATTAATTTTAAAGCCATTTTAGGGAAATGAAGTCGTTACTTTAGAGACCGCTTGAACGAGACGGACGTGTGCGTCTCGCTTCGTGTGTTGCATCATCTCAATATTCAAATTTCGTTTGCCGCACTTACTCTTTCAACCCACCTCGGAAGCAGGGTTCATAGAGTTGACTCCGAGGTAGATTTACTCATACTTTTAGAACGAATAGGCTCCGTCCATATGGTCAGTTACCTCGCGTTTTGGAACTGCGTAGAGTTAAACTCTGTTACTCGGAGTGAATTTTGGAACGCATCCCTGATGAGTTCAGTAGTGGGAACCAGGACGAAACCCCGCGGTCGATCATACTTTGAATCGATCACGATCCAACATTCATTTTTCCAGCCTAACCAATTCAATGTTACCGCCAAACTCCTATACTTTTTCAGGGAATGCTTTTGAGCTCCCAAATGTTTCTTTGATCACATTTTATTGTGTATATTTTAGAATGTGATGCTGAATAATATTTTAGTAATAAAACTGAATTAATTATTGTTTTTAATTTTTACACCATTGCATGAAACATTTTTTACCGGGATGTATATATACATTGTACATATATTAATTGTAATTATTAAATTAATTGTATATTTTCATTAATTTTATTGTAATTATATTTGTTAAATTATATTTATTTTATAGTTAAAAATCATGGAAAACTAATTATTTATATACTTATTCTGTTGCTCTATAATATGTTAAATAATTTAAAGAGGTAAAATATATAATATTATAGTTGTATAAAATAAATAATTACTATTATATTATATTAACAATGTATATTATATAATATTTTAGCCAAACCCGGTATGCTGGACTTGAAAGGGAAAGCCAAATGGGAAGCCTGGAATAAGAAGAAGGGCACTTCGCAAGAAGGAGCGAAGCAAGCCTACATCGATTATGCCAACCAACTGATTAAAAAATATAAATAATTTTATCTATCATCGCCGGTAGTTGCGTTCCTGTTGTAGTCATGAATCAAAAGAAATGTATTTTTATAATTCCTCAAATATTAACATTTTGTTACTTATTGTAAATTAAACATTTAGAAATTTTTCATTACGATTTTGTTGCGTGAATGTTTGAACTTTTCCTGATACTACGATATTATCATTCATAATCAAACAGAAAACCAGATAAAATATGTTGTATCACATATGTACTCGTACATGACACGCAATCCTTATCAATAAGTTACCACGCGATATAACGTCCTCCAATCATGTTGTAATGCAGGGCCTCCTTTGTATGCTTCGGGGCCCCTGCTCTTCAGTTAATGCCATATGTCCAACCAGAATTTCCTCTGCGATTTTGTTCGGCTATCTTTATCAACTGTCTTATGAGGAAATTGTCACTCTGGACTTCCGTCAGCTTTGCAACTTCCAATTCTCTGATGAAAAGACAATAGCGCTATATAGAGCGCAGATAACGAACAAAAATAAAAGTGATACAACCTGCCCTTTGAGTGACCGAGGCTCTTTCAGCAGTAGTGTCTTAATTCCTTTCATAGGTAGTCGGATGAGGCGTTATATTTACAGCATTTTCGCAGAATAACCGTCGATTCTCGCTATTTGTTCATTAACTATAGCAATTTTTAAATTTAGATAATTTTGTGCAACAAGAAAGCGCACGCACGCAGATATGTTCGCCTTTCCAACCATATGTTGTGTTTTATTTCCACATATCTTTCTAATATTGGGGTTTTAATATTAAACGCTCCTCTTTCAAATTTATTTATTTATTAATACAACATAGAAACGTATAAAATACATATAAATTACAGGAGTAAAAGTTTGAGATAGTGAAAAATGATAAAAGCAAAGTATCATGAAATTCTCGTTGAACAATCTCAAATCTTTGACTTCTTATTTATTATATTGTTTGAAATCTATCATTTGGATTCTACAAAGTGTTCCCACATTAAACCGCCAAACATAAAATATAAATTTAGAATCTTAAAACAAATTCATACAAAATCAAGAAATATTTAAACTCATATATTAAGATTAGACGGTTTAACCGGAGAACACACACACTCTGTATAAGTGAAACAAGTAATTTTGTGAAAAATAGAATACAAACAATATAATAAATGAATATAAAATGTTTTTACTTTACTTAAATTATTACATACTTTTATTGTATAAAAATTAAACATCTAACGTGTGATATATATAAACATTTATATGTCATATAATTATTACATTGTATTGTATATATATATATATAATACGCACACATATATGTATATACAATAGCATCTAATTATTTTTACCAATTTTTTAAATACTAAATTCATAGAATTTATATGTAATATATTTTTTTCTCATCGTTATTGACCTCATAGATGTTAATGTGTGTGAATCTATTATTTTACATTAATAATACTTAGAAGATTTTAATCTTCTGTGGAAATTAAACAAAGTTTTATTAGAAACGTAGATCATGGAAAAGTATATATATATAGTAACTATATCATAGCAAAAAGTATATAATTAGTAATTAAAATAATTAAAATTTTTGCCATATCTTATACATCAATGTAATATTCTTAAATATAAAATGTGGATAAAATTACAAAATACTTTTTTTATTTTACAGTTGCATCAGACCATAGTGAATACCTTCCAAGTATTATAAATGTAATACTCGTACTTTCTATATTATTTAAAAAATTTATCGAATTATTATCCGATGAGTCATATTAATAAATTAAAATGATCCAGGACATTATTATAGTGTTTTAATTTATTATGTAATATGGGAAAAGTCACTGCTTTTGTCATTATTGGTTGACAATTTCCTTTGTCGAATATGACTGTGCCACATACCATATAGAAAATATACGCCCAAGCCTGCGATAGCATGTTAAAACAAATGTATATTAACGCATTTGTAAACGCATATATTTATATTCATCTCGTAATACACTTACCAATTGCCATCCACACAGAGAATCGTATCCATGTGTCTTTATCCAACGTCATCATAAGATAAATATTAATGAGAATACTGAATCCCGGCAAAAACGGCACAAACGGCACCTGACAAAAATATTTAAGAACTATTTAATAAATTATTGTTTTCTAACATGCCATTTAAGCATTAATTCGCAATGTTATTATTCGTTTTTCCTGTTCATCTTTTACTCTGCCATATTTCTCACAAAGAAAAATTGAAAATATCAATAATCAAAAATAAAATAAAAATTAAATAAAATATTTCATCGATAAATAAAGATCTGAGATAATACATTTATAAGGGGAACACTACCTAATTAATATACCCTATATAATTTTGATGAAATTTGTGTCAGTCTTAAAATAGCCTCAAAATGAAAAGTAATAATGCCAATTTTATTGATAATCGTCACTAGGAAACAATATGGTTAAAAAACAACATGCAATGTTAATAGCACTTATCAGATTGCAACCCATATGGCTTATTAGATACATTCTGTCGCGTTGACGATTGCTGATAAAAGTGGCATCATTCTTTTCATTTTAAGGATATTTTCATAGCAAAATTTCATCAAAATCGATAGATATCAATTGTATAGTATCCCTTATCAATATTAATGCTTAAGGAGATACTGACAAGACGACTGAATAGGATCATTATTTTATCGACTTACACATAGTTTACATTCACGATTTACGACACATCGATACGTCATTGCATGCTACTATATCAATATCACATGTACAAATTTTGAAGCACACTATTGATGATTTCAGAATCCCCTTAATGTTTATATGTAGTATTTAATAATAATAGAAATAAATAAAATCTAATATTCTTATATTAATGTCGCAAATTAAGAATTAACAAGATAATACTAACAAAGAAATTATAACAATAAAAAACATACATACCGAAAATGCTAGTTTCTTGTCGGAGACTGGTTGGAAATAAATAAAACTGATGGTGATCACGAGTGCAATGACTAAAATTACGAGTGGCACTATGAAAGCGACTTTTCCTGCGGTGATCTCTGTCATATACAAGGATAATAATACAGCAGTACAGATACAAAGAAGATCTGCAAAAAATTTAATAATTTATATGAGATCTCGAGATGGATCAACGTTCATTATTAAAATAATAATAAGTCTTACTATAGCAGCATACTAAAACAGTAACAATCTGCGCTGTGAGTTTCGTAGAATGATTTAATTTGTTTGCATTTATCAATTGTTTTACGATAAATATTAAAGTCCGTGGATTACGGTCGCCTTTCTTCTCGTATGCTTCGCTTTTCTCGTATCTACAAAAAATATATTTGTTATCGACAAAAAGGATTTTGTCATCGATATTAATCTGTCCAATATATTTTAATCTCATTATCAGTCCAACTAAATTTATTGACATATTTTCAACTTCAATTCTTAAAAAAATCAATTTAACTATAATCATACATAAACAAAATTGAGTTATATATATATATAAATTCAAATTTACCGTAGAATAAGTACGCAAGATGCAACAATTGAATATGTAAGGAGCGTGCAGATACTCATCATTTTAACCAGTGGATCGAGTTCAAATATCGTTGCTAAAATGCCTGTAATATGTCATTAAATGATTATATATATTAATTATGCGATAAAATATTGTTATTAGTTAGAAATTATTAGTTAAATAATTGTTTCAAACAATTATTATCACGAACCTGTAAGTAGCCCAGCGGAAAGCGTGCCCATAATAGGAGTTTGGAATCGGGAATTTATGTTGCCCATCCATTTGAAGACCAGTCCATCTGAAGCCATGGCGTAAATCACTCGCGGCAGCGGAAACATTGAACCTAACAGACTAAAATAATTAGTCAATAAACGAAAATATTCATTTATCCTTATTTTAATAAGAGATCTTTTAATAAGAGGTGGATTATAATATAAAATTAGCGAAATACGAAAAGATGTTTGTAAATTAAACAAATTTTAAAAGGATTACATCTACAGATCTATCTGAAAGATCTGTATGTGAAAATCATTTACTACTTTATTTCACTAAAAATATTTTTTTTTAATAATATCATTTTTAGACCGTGTATGTGAGAGACATAATCGATAAATTAGAGCCCTATACGGTTGAAGCTAAATCTTAAAATGTTTAAATAATTCAATCTTGAATCACTAAATATGATATATATGTACTTGACATATATATCGTAATTGTAATCTAACAAACTGTGCACCGAAATATTTCCGGACTAAATTTTTTTTTAAATTGATGCAACTGTAAACGATATTACCTAGCGCATAGTCCGCTGATCGCTCCGATTGTCACGAACCACTTGGCCCATTCCCATCCTATAACGTCAAACATATGCGGGAATGGTGCCTCGGGATTTTGTTCGTAGTACGGTAGCACGGTAGTGAGCACTACGGAAACACCGAAGTATGCAAGGAAGACGATCGTTAGTGACGCGATGATTGCAATAGGGATAGACCGCTGCGGATTCTTAGCTTCTTCTCCCGTGGTGGCCACGCAATCGAAACCGATGAATCCATAGAAACATGCAGCCGCGCCTGTTATAATGCCTGACATACCGTAAGGCATAAATCCTCCTTCTCCGCGTTCGCAGTCTGTGTCGATGCAACTGGGTTCCGTTTTCCAGTTATTAATGTCAGCTATAAATCGTTGCAAATTTTATGTTATATTTTATATATATATAATACATATATAAATATTTATATATAATTATATTGGGTTGAAACAAAAGTTCGTAGCGCTACTTCATTTGTATCATGTCTACATGTTTAAAAAAAATTTTTTTTTTTTAATTTGACAATTATACTGTTCAATAGAGCAAAGTTTCAGCTTAACGATAATTTTTAACGATGATGAAGAGTCGAAGACTTATGACTAATCGAAGTTAAAATGCTTTTTTTATTTAATCCAATAACCCAATGTAACAAAAAAGCTTACAATTAGTAATATTAAAAAAAAAATGATTTTGTAGAAAAATTTTAAGCTTTCTCACGTTGAGAAGTTGAAAACAAAGCTTTTTTACAGTCTATTTGAGATTTAAAGTTCGTAGCGAACTTTTGTTCCAACCCTATATTATTTCAAATTATAAATTTGTAAATAATTATTTTATTCATATTTATAATATATTAATATCAATAATATTATTAACATAAATTATTGATATAAATAGCAGTAAAATTTGCAATAAAAAAAGTTACAAAGTATATTATTAAAAGAAATTATAACATTTGAAACAACTAGCTTACAAATAATTAGCAAGTTGACTATTAATTCGACGTAAGAAGGCATAGAATAGAGTCGAATTGGAAGAGTATTTACCTTTCAAGGAACCAGCAATTATGACGAAAAGTACAACAGACAGGTTCACCAGAGTAAATATATTATTCACCATCGAAGATTCCTTAGCTCCGAAAGCAAGAGCGACTGAAAAGGGAATTATATATTTCTTCCGCTGTTTTCATTACTATCAAGCAATTATGTAATAAATTAACGAATTAATATTATAGAATTTGTGTGAACTTATCATGTTACGAGGAAAAGATATGTGTTTTATATAATTCTATCAGAACTATTTTATTTGCTAAAAACATACGAGATTTGATTAGATTTTGATTGAAAAAAAATGTCTTATCACCTGAGAAAATCAAAGTAACGCCAAGCGCAAAAAAATCAGGATATGACGATAAACTATCGACATTGATAGGCATCACC